GGCGATGTGCAGCCACACGGCCAAGGCCCCCAGGCTGTGCCCGCGACCGCAGAGCCTGGGCGCCCTGGGCGCCGCCCTCACCAGGCGGCCACCCCCTCTGCACGGCCTTCCTGCCGGGCTCCCCGGGCTGCGTGCCGGCGCTCGCCTTCCGCGAGCTCGGGCTTCAGGCCCCGGGGGCCCCAGTGGCTGAGCAGCGCCCACTGGCCACCAGGGCTGTCTCGGGCCCTCGCCCGTGTGTGGGGCAGCGCCGGCCAGTGTTTGCCACACTGTTCTGGGGTGTGGGCGTTGGGCAGGACTGACCGGGGCTGGGAGACCCCGCCGGGGCGCGGCCCCGGGCCGAGCAGGGCCGCTGGACGCGGCACTTCTGAGCGCTGCCTGCTGCTCGCTGGAGACCTGGGCCTGTGGGGGCCGCGCCCCACGGTCACCCCGCCCTGCCCACAGGACGAAATCCCAGCGGAAGACAGCCAGCGGCAGCGCCCAGCCGAGTGACAGCATCGTGGTGGCCTACTACTTCTGCGGGGAGCCCATCCCCTACCGGACCCTGGTGCGGGGTCGTGCGGTCACCCTGGGCCAGTTCAAGGAGCTGCTGACCAAGAAAGGCAACTACAGGTGAGCCTGGGGGCGGCGGTCAGCACGTGCTGGACGGCGCCCTGCACCCTGTTTCCCGGTGCCCACACTGGGCCCTGTGGGGCCAGCCCTGGACACTGCCACGGCCTGGCGCCGCCTGAGGCCCCAGCCAGCCTGAGGGAGGCCTTGGCGTCGGGGGCCTGCCCGGGTGGTCCGGCGCCGGGCTGGGAGCTCAGGGCCTCGCCGCCCACTGCAGATACTACTTCAAGAGAGCGAGCGACGAGTTCGACTGCGGCGTGGTGTTCGAGGAGGTCCGCGAGGACGGGGCCGTCCTGCCTGTCTTCGAGGAGAAGGTCGTCGGCAAGGTGGACAAGCTGGACTGACCCCGTCCCAGCCCCGCCGCAGTCCGGGGCCTGCTGCCCGTGGCCACGCCAGGCTGTCCGTCCGTCGTGCCGGGCGGGGACTCGGGGTCCACAGCCTCTGCCCTGCCCGTGAGGAGGGCACCCCGCCCACTCCTGCAGAGCAATATTCTGGGCCCAGGCCGCCTTGGGGACCCTCCCGGCCCCTGCTGCTAACCAGGGCCTGCGTGGAGCCCGGCGCCCGCCTGGGGCCTGTCCTGTACATGTCACCGAGTGCCTTCGACACCTGTCTCTTGCCTGCCACTGTGGGGCCCGCCCCGCCCCGCCCCGGCCCGCCAGCGGGCGTGTAAATATGTACATTTCTCAGGCCAGGGCCAGCGGGCCGCTCGCCCTTTTTTTCATGCGCTGACTTGTACAATTATCTTTTCAAAGGTACTTGGATAATAATGGAATAAATCTTTTTGAACCTTCTGTAGCAGTGCAGTGGCTCTGGGCACGCCGCCGCGGGCTGAGGGATCTCTGTGACCTTGGCAGCCCGGGC